GGGTTATACATATAAGTTCTATGAGGTCTCTGTTTCCTATACCATTTTTGACCTCTCCCGTCTATTTAATGCCTACCAATTATGCTTCTTCTTCCCTGTACCTTTCTTCCCATTCCTCCCTTCCCCCAGCCTACTGAAATCCCTTCATGTGATGCCCATTTCTCTGATTCTGTTCCTGTTCTAGTTATTTGCTTAGTTTTTGTTGTCATTGTTTTTCTTTTCTTTTAGGTTCAATTGTTGATAGTTGTGAGTTTATTGTCATTTTACTGTTCATATTTCTTATCTTCTTTTTCTTAGATAAGTCCCTTTAACATTTCATATAATAATGGCTTGGTGATGATAAACTCCTTCAACTTGACCTCATCTGGGAAGCACTTTATCTGCTCTTCCATTCTTAATGATGTGCCTTGGTGTATTCCTCTTTGGGTCCAACTTCTTTGGGACTCTCGGGGCTCCCCGGACTTCCTGGAGGTCTGTTTTCTTCACTGGAGTGGGGAAGTTTTCCTTCATTATTTGCTCAAATAAGTTTTCAATTTCTTGCTGTTGTTCTTCTCCCCCTGGCACCCCTATAATTCAGATACTGGAAAGTTTCAAGTTGCCCCAGAGGTTCCTAAGCCTCTCTTCATTTTTTTTTGAATTCTTGTTTCTTCATTTTGTTTTGGATGGATATTTATTTCTTCCTTTTGTTCCAGATTTATTGATTTGAGTCCTGGTTTCCTTCCTGTCACTGTTGGTTTCCTGAATATTTTGCTTTATTTCATTTTGGGTATCTTTCATTTGTTCTTTCACTTTTCAGCCAGGTTCAATTAGTTCTGTGAGCATTTTGATTACTAGGGCTTTAAATTCTCCATCAGATAGGTTGGCTATTTCCTCATCACTTAGCTCTCTCTCTCTGAAGTTTTGCTCTGTTCTTTCATTTTGGCCCTATTTCTTTGTTCAGGGCACCTGTGAAGTTGTAAGGGGTGGGGCCTTAGGTATTCACGAGGCAGGGCAACTAAATGTCTTAAATGTATTTTTATAAAGGTTTATATAATCAAATGTATTAAAAATTTTCATTTACCTTCTCTTTTTAGATGCTTACTCAGTTAAAACTGACTGTTACAATATCTGCCATAGAAATCTGGTCAAATAAAAACAAAATTTCTACTGTTGGAAATGCTAATCATATATTATTCAGATTTTTAGACTGGAAATCCAAAAATGTCTTTCAGACTCATCATGCTGCATACTTACTTGCGTGAGTATAGTATTCTATATTTGTATAGAATAAAAGAAAATGATGGAAAATGATTTCACATGTTAATTATGAAAAAAAAGAACTTATTTAATACATACTGTATTCCATAGATTCAGTAGACATGATTGGAATGGGGAAAAATGTAAGTTATAGTTCTTGTCCTCAATGACCTAATGTGAAGTGAGACTTAAAAACTTCTATCAACTGAGAAAAAATAACCTGATAAAAGTGAAGTTACATAAAAGCATTGAAATAACAAAAGGAGATTAACTATGTGTGATACAATTTCTTTGATTTTGCTTGGCTTATAAACTTTACTACCTGTTATAGTATCTCTACATCTTGTTTTTCATCTCATTAAGTTTTGTTTTTACTTTCCAATAAAAATATATTGAATTGTTTCATCATCTGGAATCTTATACATAGAAAAATCTATCCATTTTTAGTGAATAAATGAATAAGAAGGTTGCAGAAAATTTAATTTTCAGGGATGTAAATGTAGAGGGAACCAGAATAAAAACTATAACTCTTAGTACAGATGCATTTGACATACCTGTTAGGCTTCATCCTTATTATACTTCTGAGTGTTTACTAAATAAGAAAGTTACAAGTATGTATTGAAATATTCTTAACATTGTAGGTATGAGAAAAATATGTTTAAATTAGCTTAATTCAGAGTAGCATGGTGCTTAGGACATAGTAATTGTTCACTAATGTTTGTGCTATGAAAATTTATCAGTAATACCACCCTTAAATGCAATCATGAGGAAATTCTTATTTTTTAGCTTCAAGAAACAATTGAGTTTTATAGGAGCTATATGTCCTGAAAAAATATGTAATAAGGACTATGTCGCAGGAGTTGCTCTGGTATGTAATTATTATCCAGTTTGCTCTCATTGTTTCCACGTTTCAAAATTTCCTAAATATTTTAAAGAATAAATATATTACATAGTCTACTCATTCTTTAATAGTATTATAAATTACTAATAAATAAATATATTACTTAGTTTACTCATTCTTTAATAGAATTTTAAATTACTAATTTTGAAGCATAAAATTAAACTATATAACTGCTTTTAAAAAGTAGAACATTTAGCCCTGGCTGGTGTAGTTTAGTGGGATTGAGTGCTGGCCTGCAAACTGAGAGGTCTCCAGTTCGATTCCCAGTCAGGACACATGCCTGGGGTGTGGGCTGTGTCCCCAGCTAGGGGTGTGGGAGAGGCAACAGATCAACACATCTCTCACATATGGATGTTTCTCTCCCTTTCTTTCTCCCTCCCCTCCCTTCTGTCTAAAAGTAAATAAATAAAATCTTAAAAAAATAGAACATTTAAAAATTGAACTGATCATAATGTAATATTGTTTTTTAAAATACATTTGACCTTTGTAAGTCAAAATTTGTTTTGAACAGTGGTATGCTTTCATCAATATTTATTTTCTACTTTATTTTATTTTATTATTGCACTTAAGTATTTATGTTTGGGAGAACACTTGTAGGAAAAAAACAGCTATCAAATATTCATAATCTACTGACTTCTGAGGAAAGTGAGAATGAGCTCTTACGATAGAGTTATATTCTATTTACAACAAGTTATATAAAAAGTAGGAAAGAGAACTAACTTGAGAGTGCTTCAGAAAAAGATGAGTGTACTGTGATTTTCATACCAACCAATTTGTGCAGTTGGTTGACTTTTAGTAGTAGCTAAAATGAAACAAATTGCCATTGACAGATTAAAAAGATTAAACTCGCTTCTGGTATATACTTGTTGTAACATTATGTGACTTTAAGGTCTACAGTGTAATGATTTGATATATGTGTATATTGCAAAATGATTGCTGCAATAAGGCTAACGCATCCATCGTCTCACATTGGTAGTATTTCTGTATGTGTGTATGGTGAGAACCTTTAAGTCTGTTCTGTTAGAAACTTTCAGATATACAATAGAGTATCATTAATTCTAGTCGCTATGCTGTGTATTGCTTCTCCAGAAACTAGAAGTTTGTACCCTTTGACTCATTGCCACACCACAGTGCCCGCCCTTGGCAACCATCAAGCTGTTCTTTGCTTCCATGAGTTTGGTTGATCCCATATATAAATGAGATTATACAGCATTTGTCTTTCTCTGTCTGACTTATTGCACTTAGCATAATGCCCTCAAGATTCATCCATGTCATTTGTGTATATATACATATACATAAATACACATTATGGTATCATTATGGTATCATACAGAACATTTTCCCTGTGCCCCCCCCCCCAAAATCCTCTGGGTTCTGCTTATTAATTTTCCCCCTCCTTACCAGCAACCATTATGGACTGTTTTATTGTGTCCATAATTTTGTGTCTTTCAGAATTTCATATAGCTGAAATTATATAGTATATAGCCTTTTCAGATTGGGTTCTTTCACTTAGTAATATGCATTTAAGGTTCTTCCATTTCTTTTTATTACTTTATGCTTCATTTCTTTTTAGTGCTGAATAATATTCCATTGTCTTAAATGTGCCACAGTTTATGTCTCCATTCACCTAGTGTTTGGATACATATCATAGCTGCCTTCAAGTTTGGGCAATTACGAATAAAGCTGCTATAAGCATCTGTGGGAAGAAACTGGGAATGACACGAAGGAGAACAACAGTACCTAACGAGGGTGTAGAGTTGTCTGTTGCTATCTAATTGATTATAGCAAAGCTTAGCAGATGTAAAAATGCAGTTCTATGGGTTAAAATTCTAGGAGCAGCTTAGTGGGCAAAATCAAGGTGTCAGCTAGAGCTGTAGTTATGTCAGGGTTCAACCCAGAGCGAGTTTGCTTTCAAGCTTAGTCATGTGGCTATTGGAAGACCTCATGTGGACCCCTCCATAGGCCTACTTCATGACATAGTGGCTGGCTGGCTTCCCCCAGAGTGAGGACAGCGACTCACAGAATCCAAGAAGTCAGTCTTTTTCTAACCTGTCTTGGAAAAGATGACCTATTACTTCTACTGTATTCAGTTAACTAGAAATATGTGCATAAATGCAGCTTACACCCAAGGACACAAATAGCAGAAGGCAGAAATCATTGAAACCCATTTAGAGGCTGCTTTCTACAAAGAAAACGTAGAACTGGTTATTAAAAGATGAGAGGTATTTTGTTCAGAATAATTCAAAGAAGTAACATAATGTGGTGTTTAATGCTCTAAGATAGCTGCTGTTGTCATTAAGGAATAGTATTTTGAAATGAGACTTTTGTATTTGTCCATGTTTAATAAACCTATCACCCAGATGCTTACATAACTACTCCAATTGTATTAACAAGGTACCTTGGCTGTATTAATATATATTTTTTTACTTTTTTAAAAAAATTTATTTTAATTGTTGTTGCAGTACAATTTTCTACCATTTACTCCCATCCCAGCCCACCCCGCCAGCTCTCCTCTCCTCCCTCCCATTTCCACCTGCCCCCAGTTTTTTATCCATGTGTCCTTTATACTTGTTCCTGTAAACCCTTCCCCTTTTCCCCTGAAATTCCCTCCTCTCTCCCCTCTGAACACTGTCAGACTGTTCTCTATTTCAGTGTCTTTGGTTGTATTTTGCTTGTTTCTTTGTTTTGTTGCTTAGGTTCCTGTTAAAGGTGAGATTGTATGGTATTTGTCTTTCACTGCCTGGTTTATTTTAAAAATGAATTTCATATACTAATTTTTTTATTATAATTAAGTATTGCTTTAAAAAAATAACTGGATAGGATTCTTAGCCAAATCTTTTTCCTTTATTTTTCTTATATTTAGTATCCAGAAGGTTCATCTTTGGAGTTCTATACTGTCAGCATCGTGCAGATGCTCAGCCTTAATATGGGACTTAGTTTTGACAACACTGACACCTGCTACTGTTCAGGAGATGTTTGCACAATGTCACCAGAAGCAATGTAAGATAACTTTCTTCATGAAATACCCGTAATTCCTTTGAAGAAATTTTTTGGTTAGGAACTTTTGCATTTCTGTTACCCTTACTAAAGTAATTGACAATTATGGAACACTATATCTAACAACTACAGAATACACATTCTTTTCAAGTGTAGATGGAAACACACACCAAAATAGGCCCAGCACTTCCCTAGCACTCCATGTCTGGGGAAACTCTCTTCCTCCTTTCTACTTCCAGAGTCTGGCTTGTATCTTTTTCCTCACCTGCTTGAAAGCTTCCTTTAGGGACAAGCCAGATGAATTGTGTAATTTCAGTGATTGTGCATGAAGTTAAAGGCTCTGATATTTGCAATAAACTGGCATTGTTCAGTATAAGGATGAACAGTACAATTCATGTTAGTCAAAATTTTTATTTACAAAGACATTAAATGGTGAATAAAGAACACCATGACCCACTGAGAGAGATAGACTGTTGAAGAAAGGAAAAAGTTTTTAATTTTAGTATCATTTATAAACTAGGGGCCCTACATTTCCATTTTTGTAGCCATTCCAGGTTGTTTGACATCATCAGCAAGACTTGATATGTTCAGTATGTTTAATTTGAATCATTTTACTGCGTATGTAGTATGATCTCTTATTGGTTTTAATCTGCACTTCCCTAGGAGCTAGTGATGTTGAACATATTTTCATGCTTACTAGCTTTGTATATCATCTTTGGTGGTGAACCTATTCAAATCTACTTTTTTAATTTTTAAAAACAAAAAAGATTTTCATGTTTTTATTGAGTTGTAAGAATTGTTTATTTATTCTCACTATCAGATACATGATTTCCTCCTTATAATGAAATTTTTAAGAAAATGTTTTTAATTTTGACAAGGTACACTTTATCATTTTTTTTCTTTTCTGCATCATGGTTTTATAGCTCTTACATTCATGTTTATAATATGCTTTGAGTTAATTATGGTACATGTGTTTAAGTTTATTTTTATTTTTGCCATATGGATTTCCCATTATTCCATTTCTACTTGTTAAAATGACTATCCTTTTCCTCACTTAATTGCCTTGGCAATTTTTTTCAAAAATGAATTGGCTACATATGTGTGGATTTTTTATTGCAATCTTTATTTTATATTTTTTGTTGTTTTTTTGTTTTAAATAACTTATTTTATTTTTTTTATTGTTGTTCAAGTGAGGTTGTCTGCCTTTTCCCCTCACCACTGCCCCCCACCCCAGCCATCCCTTCCTCCCTCCCCTGATTGCACTACCCCTTGGTTTTGTCCATGTGTCCTTTATAGATGTTCCTGTAAACCCTTCACCCTTTTCCCTCCATTATCCCCTCCCACCTCCCCTCTGGTTACTGTCAGTTTGTTCTTCATTTCAATGTCTCTGGTTATATTTTATTTGCTTGTTTGTTTTGTTTATTAGGTTCCATTTTTAACCTGTATGTCTACCCTTATGGAAAAACATACTGCCTTTATTACTGTAGCTTTATATTGAATTTTGAAATCAGGTAGTGTAGGCACCCAAGTTTTTTCACCTATTCTAGGTCCTTTGCAATTTTATAGATATTTTATCAACTTCCTAATTTTTACAAAAACTTCTGAGATTTTGAAAAGTATTGCATAGTTCAATTTTGGGAAACTTGTCATTTTAATAATATTAAGTATTTTGATCCTTGGATATGGTTTATATCTTCTTCATTTATGTAGATCAGCTTTAATTTTTCTTAGCAATGTAATTGTGTTTTATAGTTTAAATTTATATTTAAGTGTTTATCTTTAAGTATTGTTAAATTTATCTTTTAACTATTATTTTTGCTATCATGAATGGAATTGCTTATTTTATATCATTTTTAAAGTTTGTATTTACTTAGTTTTTGAGACAGGGGAAAGGAGGAAGAGAGGGAGAAGAACATGGATATGTGAGAGAAACACATTGATTAGTTGCCTCTCACACTCCCCCAACTGGGGACCTGGTCCACAACCCAGACATGTGTCCTGACCAGGAACTGAACCAGAGACCTTTTGGTTTGCAGGACAATGTCCAGTCCACTGAGCCACACCAGTCAGGGCTTAATATCATCTTCAAATTAGTCATTGCTAGTACATAGAAATATAATTGATTTTTGTACATTGACTTTGGGTGCTGTAAACTTGTTGAACACTTTAGAAGTTCCAGGAGGTTTTTATTTATTGATTTTGTAACATTTTCTATAATTAAGATCCTGTCATTCATGAATAAAAACTGTTTTATTTTTCCTTTTCATCTCCTTGTGTTTAATTTTTTTTCTTGCTTAATTACAATCAAAATAACTTCAGCTCAATGTGAACTGATGTGGTGAGAGTGGCTATTATTGCCTTTTCAATCTAAAGGGAAAGCATCCACTTTGTCACCATAAGTATGATATTAGCTACAGATGAAAAAAATAAATATCCTCTCTTCTAAAATATGATCTTTTATTCCCTTGTACAATATATTGCTTTAGTTTCGTTCTTCATCATTCCAATAATTATTTGACTAATTTTACATATTTCTTTCCTGGTATTTTTACTTTTTGCTCCTAGCAGGCACCTGGTCTACTTTTTACTAAATAATGTTGCCTAGAAGAGAAGTCAGTAAATCTGTTGCAAATAATGATCTAATCAGCTCAGGATATTTTCTTATTATTTAATGTTATACTTTGATTCTGAATCCATCTTATTTATTTATTTACTTATTTGTAAATTTTATTTGTTTTTTAAGATTTTATTTATTTATTTTTAGAGAGGGAAGGGAGGGAGAAAGAGAGAGAGAAACATCAATGTGTGGTTGCTGGGGGCCGTGGCCTGCAACCCAGGCATGTGCCCTGATTGGGAATCGAACCTGCAATGCTTTGGTCACAGCCCGTGCTCAATCCTCTGAGCTACGCCAGCCAGGGATTTATTTATTTTTTAAAAAAAAAACAAAAAGTAGATAAATTTATTTCTTCTTCTTTATGACAGTTTCTCAGAAAAATATTCTCCGCATATTTTTGAGTGTTTATACTTTCTAAACAACCAACTTTATTGATGTATAACTTGTCCATAATAAAATTGACACACTTTAAGTGGATAAGTTTATGACTTTTGACAAATATATATAAATCTTGGAACCACAGTGTCATCAGGTTATGCAGTGTTTGTCTCCACAGAAAGGTCCTTTGTGACCCTTGACATTCCTTCTACCTACCACCCTTACCCCAGGCATCAAATAATCTGATTTCTATGACTACAGTCAGTTTAGGTTGCTCTACAGTTTTATGTAAATTGAATATGTACCATACTTTGAGTGTTTACTTATAAGATTGTAATTTCTCTGAATTAACTAAACAGCTTTCTTTAATTATTTGAATATATAATATCAGTTTCTTTTAAGTATTTGCATGCCATATCTAATACTTGGGCTATCTCAGTGTTGATTTCTATTGATTGCTTTTATATTGGCTATGGATTACATTTTCTTATTTATTTATGTCTATCATCATCATCATCATCATCACATTCGATATTGTTTTACAATAGAAAACTTGGATTCTCTTACCTTCCTCTGAAACACATTGATTCTTTTTTTTTTCACCAGGCAATTCAATTACTGGCTAATCATTTTGAATTTTATTTGCTTGCTTTTATGCTTTGTTAATATGGATATAGGAAAACTCAAGGTTTTTCCAACTTGGTCTCTTCTGGGGATCCTGTCAGAACTTGAATTAGACTGTGAGAATTGATATAGAGTAGATTGTAGTATAGGGCAGCAGACAGCCAGCAATAATCCAGGGACCAAATATGGCTGGCTGCATGATTTCTAAATAAAATCTTACTGAAGTACTTCCAGGCTTATTGGTTTATATATTGTTTATGGCTTCTTTAGTACTACTGTACTGTGCTGATTTCTTAGTTCTAACAGTGTATATAGTACATAAGCTGATGCTATTTACTACTTGGCCCTTTACAGAAAAAAGATCCTCAACCCTTGGTCTAGGGCATAATCTTTTGTCTCTTAAATCATCTTATTTCTAGTGTTTTAGTTGGATGCCAAGGTGTTACAAAAGTGCTAACAGCTTTTATTTTGTCAGGACAGGTCTTCCTACTGCCCCTCCCAAAGAGCTTAAACAACCAATTTTTATTTGAGAAATGTTTAATTATGAGAAGCAGAAAAGCTCTAAAATATGCTATTAAAGTTACTATTAAAATAGTAATAATAAATGCTGTTAATAAATATACCATTAAGTGTGTTCATTCTGGCATTTACAGAAAATATAAAAATAATGTTAAATAGATTAAGGGTACATTAAATACTGAAGCCAAAATTTTTTAATTTAGTTGTTGACACTAGGAAAGTAAGAAAGAATAACACAGTTCCTGTTTTTTTAATTTCCATTAGTTTTCTGCTGAAATTTAAAAAGTGTGTTAAACATATTAGCAATGCAATGACTGTTTTTTAAATGTGCCTTCTGTTTTCTGTGAAGAATAATTCTCTTTAAATCTTTCCTAAAAATGCCAAACATTAGGGTAAATGTGGAGATAATATAGCAATAATTTTTATCATGCCCATGTTTTTAATAATTTAGGCACTTTCGGGGTGTAAAGGATTTTAGCACCTGTAGCTTGGATGAGTTTAAATACTTCGCTTCAAATTCTGGCTTTGATTGTCTTCATAACATCCGTCCTGTTCCTCCAGTTTACAAACAATCAAAGAGTGTGTGTGGCAATGGGAAGCTGGAAACGGGTGAAGAATGTGATTGTGGCACACCACATGTGAGTAGAAAATTGTCAGAAAGTTTTTATTTTCCATATATGTGTATAATATGTGGGGGAAAAGAGAAAGACCTTGTTGTTTAGAAAAATAAATTTAACAAAGACCTATTTTGTAGAAGATGGCAGCCTTTAAGTCTTGTAATTTTTGGCTATTTTTGGAAATGGAGAGCAAAGGTTCTGAAGATAATACTTATCTTCAGATATTGTCTTTTGGCATTTTTTAGGGTATGCATCAGCTTCAAACTTAGAATTAGTGACCACAAAGAATATTGAAGGAGTTGAAGAAATATATTTAACAATAAGCAGTAACAAAAACAGATAAGGACATCTGAAGTATATGGACTATTGGCAATGGAATAGACCTTGTTTGACAATATAATGAGAAAAAGATTTGTATTGACAGGTTATGCCCACTGAAGCATTTTAAAATGAAATTTGTTACTTGTAGAAAATATAAAAATGTGTAATAAAGATTAAACTAATATAAAGATGAAAGATGATAGAGGAGGTATTAACAACAAAGTGAAGCAGACATGTTGAAATACCAGCCATCATAAACAAGTTAACAAACAGTAAGTGCTGGTGGGGTTGTGGAGGAAAGGGAACCCTAGTGCACTGTTCCTGGGAATGCAGACTGGTGCAGCTACCATGGAAAACAGTTTAGAATTTCCTCAAAAAATTAAAAATGGAACTGCCATTTGACCTGGCAATTCCATTGCTGGGATTATTCCCTAAGAATCTTGAAAAACCAATTCAAAAGAACCTATGCACTCCAATGTTCATAGCAGCACAATTTACAATAGCCAAGTGCTGGAAGCAACCTAAGTGCCCATGAGTAAATGACTGGATCAAAAAACTGTGGTACAGGCCAAGACAAAGAAATATGGCCCAAATGAGAGAACATAGTGAAGCCTCAGAAAGAGAACTAAGGAAGGAGGAGATCGCCAACCTATCTGATGGAGAATTTAAAGCCCTGGTAATCAAAATGCTCATGGATCTGATTGAGCTTGGTCAAAAAATGAAAAAAACAAATGAAGGATACCCAAAGTGAAATAAAGTAGAATGTTCAGGGAACCAGCAGTTACAAGAAGGAAACCAGGACTCAAAGCAGCGATTTAGAACAAAAGGAAACAATAAACATCCATTCAGAACAAAATGAAGAAACAAGAATTTGAAAAAGTGAAGAGACTCTTACAAACTTCTGGGACAACCTTAAATGTTCCAATATCCTAATTATAGGGGTGCCAGAAGAAGAAGAGGAAGACCAAGAAATTAAAAACTTATTTGAGCAAATAATGAAGGAAAACTTCCCCACTCTAGTGAAGAAAACAGAGTACCAGGAAGTCCGGGGAGCCCCGAGAGTCCCAAAGAAGTTGGACCCAAAGAGGAATACACCAAGGCACATCATCATTAAGTTACCCAAGATTAAAGACAAAGAGAGAATCTTAAAAGCAGCAAGAGGGAAGGAAAGAGTTACCTACAAAGGGGTGCCCATAAGGCTATCAGCTGATTTCTCAAAAGAGACCTAACAGGCAAGAAGGGGCTATAAAGAGGTATTCCAAGTCATGAAAGGCAAGGACCTACATCCAAGATTACTCTATCCAGCAAAGCTATCATTTAGAATGGAAGAGCAGATAAAGTGCTTCCCAGATAAGGTCAAGTTGAAGGAGTTCATCATCACCAAGCCATTATTATATGAAATGTTAAAGGGACTTATCTAAGAAAAAGAAGATAAGAAATATGAACAGTAAAATGACAATAAACTCACAACTATCAACAATTGAACCTAAAAGAAAAGAAAAACAATGACAACAAAAACTAAGCAAATAACTAGAACAGGAACAGAATCAGAGAAATGGGCATTACATGGAGGGATTTCAGTGGGGAGAGGGAAGGAAGGAATGGGGGGAAGGTACAGGGAAGAAGAAGCATGGTTAGTAGGCATAAGGTAGATGGGGAGAGATAAAAAATAGTATGGGAAACAGAGGACTCAAAGAACTTGTATGTATAACTCATGGATATGAAGTAAGGGGGGTGGAATGCTGGAGGGTTGGGGAGCAGGACTGAGGGTAGATAGAAGGATAAAATTGGGAAAATGGTAATAGTATAATCAATAAAAGTATTAAAAACAAACTGTGGTACATTTACAATGGAATACCATGCATCAGAAAGAAAGAAGGAACTCCTACCATTTGTGATAGCATGGATGGAACTGGAGAGCATTATGTTAAGTGAAATAATCCAGGCAGTGAAAGACAAATACCATATGATCACCTTTAAGTGGAACCTAATCAACAAAACAATCAACCAAAATATAACCGGAGACATTGAAATAACGAACACCCTGACAGTAAACAGAGTGGAGTGAGGAAGGGGATAATGAGAGAAAGGAGAAGGGTCATCAAGGAATCTGTGTAAAGGACTCGTGGACAAAGCCAAAAGAGAACTGGAATGAAGAGGGGGTGGGTGGGGGAGGCATTTTGCAACTCATTTCATAAAATGAGTCTTGGCCTGAAGTCAAAACCAGATGAAAAATGAAAAGAAATGAAAATCCCATTAATATCCCCCATGAACAGTATATAAATAGTTTAATGTCTTGATTAAGTGGGGCTTATCCCAGGAATACAGGGTTGTTTTAAGATATGAAACTTCTCAAGAATTGTGAATAAACACATTTTTACATTTATAAAAAGAAACTGATTGTTATTCAACATAACAGAATATATGAAAAAAATTTAAGAAAATTTAGCACCAATTCATTTATATCAGTACTTTAAGAATAGAAGGGAACCTCCTAACTCTAATAAAGTACACCTCTGAAAAATCTACAACTGTCATCATAATTACTGGTGAAAGACTCAAAAATTTTCCTCCTATACCTGGAGCAAGGAAAGATGTTACTCTCATCTCTTCCATTTAACATTGCAGTAGATGCTACAGCCATTGTAAGGCAATATGAAGAAGCACATGATGATTGGAAAAGAAGATATAAAACTATCTTTAATCAAATTCAACTCAGCCACAAGACTAGAGAATCCTAAGCAATCTCCCCTGAAAAAGGTACTAAAACTAATTAGTGAATTGGAGTCACTAGATACACAGGCAGTATACAAAAATCAATTGGATTTCTAATGTAAGCAATAAAAAATGGAAAATAAAATAAAAAGTACAATTCCATAAACATTGTTTCAAAAATGTGAAATATATTTATACACTTAGCAAATATGTGCAAGACCATAAAAACTGACATAGCTCAGCAACTGAAAGAAGATTGTAATGAGTGAAGAAATACTTTCATGGAGTGAAAGACACAATATTAGTAAGATGTCAGCTCTGTATAAATTCTATATTTATTCAACACAATCCCAACCCAAACTCACCCATCTTTTTGTAGAAGTTGATAATCTATACTCCAATTTATATGGAAATGCAAAAGACAAAGCCTTTTTTTAAAAAAAGGCTGGAACACATATTAATTTTCTTTACATTTGAAAAATTTTTATAAAGTTACAATAATCAAAATGATGTGGTATTGGCCAGAGCATGAATCTATTCCTTACTGGGACGGCGTAGAGGATCCATATATAAAATAATGTGTATACAGTCAACTGATTTTTTGCCAATCTGTCAAGGCAATTCAATGGGTGAAGAAAATCTTTTGACAAAGTTGTTGTATGAACTGGATTGGATATCCATGTAAATAAAATAAACCTTAACTCTCTACATACACAAAAATTAACTTGAAGTGGATCAAAGACCTAAATATAACAGTTAAAATTCTAAAGCTTTTAGAATAATATGTAGGAGACAATCTTTTTGGCCCTGTATTAGGCAAAAATTTCTTAGACATGGCAAATAAAAATGAGGTTTAAAAAATGATAAATTGTACTTCATCAAATTTAGAAATCTTTTCTCTTAGACTGTGTTAAGAAAAATAAAATAGCAAGGCTTCAGAATGGGAGACAATATTTACAATTCATGTATATTCAGATATATATAAGTATATAAAAATATTACAAAACCAATTAAAAAATACAAAAGGATACTTAAGTATTGTGGTTTCTGGTCTGACATGTGAGTAGTTAAGAAGTCACCATGAAGTCTTTACAACAAAAGCTTAACAAATTGAGAAAGCAACAACACTTCATAGATCCATCAAAGAAATGAGGTATTAGAGCAAATCATGGCCCCCTCCCTTAGGCAAGGACTGATAGGCAAATACCAGAGAATCACAGCTTACTGGAGTAGCAGCCCACAAGCTGAAACCTTTTGGGAATAAGTGCCTGAATAGGAAAACCTGAACTGTAATTGATGAATTGCTGGAGGCTCAATGAGGACAACTCTGATAGTTAACAATTCTAGGGGGATTCATTCATAGGAAGGCTCCCCCACACTTCCGTGAGTTTTATTTCTAGGAGCTCAAACTGGTTCTCATGAGAATACTGGGAAAAGTACTCTCATGTTTCTGGAAGAAGGTAGGGTAAAAGGAACAATTTTGAAATAGAAAGTTCTATTTTTCTTTTTTTTCCACTTTAAAAAAAATTTTAATCATTGTTCAAGTACAGTTTTCTTCCTTTTACTCCCATTCCAGCCCACCTACCCAACCCTCCCCACTTCCCTCCCATTACCACCCTCTCCTTAGTTTTTGTTCATGTGTCCTTTAAATTTGTTCCTGTAAACCCTTCCCATTATCCCCTGAAATTCCCTCCCCTCTCTCCCTTCTGGTTACTGTCAGTCTGTCCTCTATTTCAGTGTCTTTGGTTATATTTTGCTTGTTTCTTTGTTTTGTTGATTAGGTTCCTGTTAAAGGTGAGATCATATGGTATTTGTCTTTCACTGCCTGGCTTATTTCGCTTAGCATAATGCTTTCCAGCTCCATTCAAGCTGTTGCAAAGGGTAGGAACTCCTTTCTTTCTGCTGCATAGAATTCCATTGTGTAAATGTACCATAGTTTTTTGATCCATTCATTTACTGATGGGCATCTAGGTTGCTTCCAGCAC